TACTTATAACACGCAATACTTCATACCCCCCGGTTTTGTCGTCATTACCACCAATTTCCCTCCCTTCCATATTCTCCTCCCGTATCACCAACTCACAGTGGTACCGTGGAATTCCATACTTTGCTACTGACCAAACCCGTCGTGCGAGGGTTGTCGATATCACCGGGCGCGCCAAGCTTCGGGAACTACCCGACGGGCCCGAACCGAAGCTGAGTGGCGATTGCACAGCCTCCACGTACGGCCTGCCTCGACGGAACCCGAGGCCTGTTACGGGCAGCACCGACAACTGGTCAAACCCCGCAACCGACCCGCAGACGAAATCCGCGGCGATGGTGATTCCTTTGGCCTGAAACGTTAAACCTGTTGGTAGAAGCCATTTTGTTGGAGTTTTGTTTGAGAATGCAAGAGTATTTAGATCTATCGGTACAGTGATAACAGCAAGTGCCTCGGATTTTTAACCCGAGATGCACTGCGCATGCCATCTGCCTTATGCTGCACGACGCCAGCTACCCCCTCTCTGAATATATCCCTTTTTGCACTTGTACCCCTGGAACTTGCCACAGGAGATCTCAGTTCCAACCTGGGACTCCACCCCCACTTTCCTAAAATCCTTGGCACACCCTTTTTTCGCACTTCCGGGCCTCCACTCCACTCCGATCCGGAAGTCGCGCGGGGTGTGAGGTTGGGCGTCACAGGGTTGGTTCGGCGTGTCGGTAAAACCCTCCACCGACCGACACCGCTCTAAGGCACTGGTTCTGTTCGGGGATCAGTCCAACCCTCCTAGAGCCAAAATTGCTAACAAGTTTTGTATCATTGGTTTTTGGGTCTTCGGGATAACTCACAGGGACCCCACATTCAGCAGTTCTTACTGCGTAGTCTCTTGTCTGCGTAGTCTCTTGTCTGCGTAACTCCTTCAAGAATGCAGTTTGGAACTTAGTCTTGGCAGAATGGAGAAAAGCAAGAAATGAATGTCCACTACCCTCAGCAGCTCAATGGTCAATGCTCGACTTCTCGGTTTTTTTTTTTTTTTAAATGGGCTCATTACAACATTTAACCACACGCCTCTTCCCATTAGGGCTGGAAGAGCCTCAGCCACTCCTCCCTTGGAGACAGCTTCCCTGCATAACACGAATATAGAATAATCACATGACATTGATTGCTTTCTTAGTGAGGAAGGATTAACCCCGCTTTGTGCTGAATCAAGCTCTGCCCTACTCGGCTCCTGAACTATCCACTACACTTCTGTATAGTGAGGAGTAGGGAGATTCAAATAAGGTAAAAATATTAATAACAGGGCAAGCTAGTTTGATAGTTTAGCAGTTTATCGATAGTTCCGATGAGCTTCCCCCCACGATCCTATTTAGTCACTAACCACACAAGTGGAGGAGGCTGTGGTGCAGAAAGTTCGAAGCGAGCTGTGGCCATTTCTAACGCAACCTGGGGCTCCGTTGTCCCATGGAGCTGCCAATATCACCCATGCCCTCTTGGAGCACCTCTTTTCTATGACCCAACCCAACTTAGCAGCCCCCCTATTTGTTATTGCTACGCCACTCGCGGTTAACGACCACTTGAAATTTCATAATGAAAGATTCTGAAGTGGTTTGAAACCGCTGAAATGGCCTGAAGATACTTCACGTTATTTCAGAAGTTTCGGGTGGTTTGCAAGATAAGTTTTATGTTTTTTTTTTGTTTTTTTTTTCTGCTTGTTTTTTCAGCCACTTCAGGTCATTTCAAGAATTTCAGGTGGGGACCTGAAACCGCTGAAGTGGCTGAAGCTTCGGAATGGGGTTTCAGGCACCCCCATCCAAATGGTTGGATGGGGGTACCTGAAACCCCTTTCAAAAGCTTCAGCCAGTTCAGGTCATTTCAGGAATTTCAGGTGGGGACCTGAAACCGCTGAAGTGGCTGAAGCTTCTAAAAGGGGTTTCAGGTACCCCATCCAAAAGGTTGAATGAGGGTACCCGAAACCTCTCTCAGAAGCTTCAGCCACTTCAGGTCATTTCAGGAATTTCAGGTGGGGACCTGAAACTGCTGAAGTGGCTGAAGCTTCTGAAAGGGGTTTCAGGTACCCCCATCCCACCATTTGCAATGGATCTGTAGGCAATCTGAAAGTGGTGTATCAACCTGAAGTGGTTGAACTACCTGAAGGCGGTTTCAGACAACCCCATGTATAGATCCACACACAATCTGAAAGTGGTGTCGTAACCTAAAGTGGCTGAACTGCCTGGAAAGGAGACCTGAAAATATATGCACCCGTTAACCATCTCTCTGCTACGCCTGTTCCTCTCAACCCTTTAAACCCTTGAAGCCCTTAAAACCCTCTTCCCTTCTCAAAACCCATGCAAAGCACATTCGTAAACCTTGGAACCTGAGGATCGGCAATATCCCTTCCCTGACCTGCATTCATGGTATGGGGCTCTGCTCCCTTAGATGCATCGGTCTTCATCATTCCAGGTTTCCATCCCTGGTTTTCCTTGCCGATGTACAATCTCCGGTACCACTGTCAACTTGCAGGTGGTGGCCTTTCAATGACGCAGGGGGGGGCAGGGACAAAGGGGAGAGGGGGGAA